TGTGCCAGAACGCCCACCACACACCAGCTTATTGGTTGAGAGAAGACAGAGTGATGAAGCCAATCAGTGTATGGGGATGATTAGGTAGTCATGATGGTCAGAGGCCAATGGGCAAATTTGGCCAGGATGCCGGGGTTATACCCCTACTCTTTTTCGAAGGACATCCTGGGATTTTTAATGACCACAGAGAGTCAGGACCTCGGTTTAACGTTTCATCAGAAGGACGGTGCTTTTTACAGTATAGTGTCCCCGTCACTATACTGGGGCGTTAGGACCCACACAGACTGCAGGGTGAGCACCCCCTGCTGGCATCACTAACACCTTTTCCAGCAGCAACCTAGTTTTCTCTGGAGGTCTCCCATCCAGGTACAGCCCTGCTTAGTCAGTGGGCAACCAGTCTTGGGCTACAGGGTGATATGGCTGCTGGCCATATATATATATATATATAATGTAAGCAGTTATCTGCATAATTGGCCATTATTGCTATCACAACAACACAGTAAAGTAATTTTGTATTGATCATTGTGGTAAGAAATGAGAATAAGCAGAAACTTTGAGTGCACCAGTCACTGCATGATTTATACTGTATATTTGTTGCAAACAATGCTGTATCTTCAACTCCCTTGTACAGTAAGTAATGTGAAAGAGCTACCTGAATATAACACTTGTCCCTTATATAAAAATAAGCCCTTGTGCCAATCACCCTCTGCCTAGGTTCCTTTATCCCTTATACTCCAGCAGTCAAGACAACAATAACCACTTTTCTATATTTTATAACCCTGGATTTTCACTCGTAGCATTAGGTCATACATGAGTCACTACCTGGCGCAGTAAACAATGCAGCTATTGTAAATGTTGTCCTGGTGGTGCAACATACAGTGGTATTGTACTGCTGTCTGTAGAAGCAGCCCCTATAACAACAGCCAGAGATGCTCAGAGAGCTGAGACAACACAAGCCAAGAATGGCTTCATTTAAACTGTTTACATGAGAGGTAGAGGTTTATCTGACGTGCGTTGCAGCCTGAAATTAAACCACACCATGCTTGTTCCGTCTGGCCAGTGGGGAACTGGCCCCCCAACTGAGCCTGGTTTCTCCAAAGGTCTATTTTTTTCTCCATTTCTGTCACCAATGGAGTTTGGATGCCACTGTCACCTTTGGCTTGCTTAGTTGGGGACATTTAATTTCTGGCAACATTGTTTGTTGACTTGATTGCACAGACACTATTGGAAAAGAACTGAACTGAGCTGCACGTTGACATCACTGAATCAACAATGAACTGATTTTAACTGATAAACTGACTGTTTTCGTTTGTCCTCTTGCATTATCAGCACACGCTTTTCCTGTTTAACACTGTAAAGCTGCTTTGACACAATCTGTATTGTATAAAGCGTTATATAAATAATGGTGACTTGACTTGACTTATCTGGAATTACATGTGTATCAGATATTCTGTAAATCCAAAGTTTGTGAATGACCTTTAACTTAATTACCTTAAAGATGTATTTATTCATTAATGTTAGCATCTTAAAGGGACAGTTCACCTAAAAAATAATATTCTGCCATAAGACTATCGTCTCTCTTATAAACACAAATTAAGATATTTTAAATGAAACCTGAGAGATTTCTGTCCTTTCATTAAAAAAGTCCATGTCACCAAAACTTTGACAAAATTTCATAAAGACTTTGTTAAAGTAATCTATATGAATGAATGAATCCAAGTCTTCTGAAGAAACATGATCACTTTATGAACAGGTTTAATTTAGTCTTTTATTCACATATAAACATTGATCAACACACAGACATAGAGCACAAATATGGTAAACCGTACTTGTTCGCCGTACCAGAACCATTGAGGTTTGTTCTTGTGTCACGTAAATGCATGAAACCTTTTGCAAAACTCTTCGATGTCTTTATAAACTTTTAGAAAAGTCAATGTTTTTGTGTAATGCCCTTCAGTGACAGAAATGACTCAGATTTCATTAAAAAATATCTTCATTTGTGTTTCAAAGATGAATGGAAGTCATACAGGTTTAGACCAACATGAAGGTGAGAAAAATTATGACAGAATTAAATTTTTTTGTGAACTATCCCTTTAAGTAACATGAGTGACATCATCAATCTGAATAAACAGACAGATCTCCAAAAAATTCATGAGATGACACTATAAAGGATTTAAGGTTTTATTATTGAATAACATAATAGACAAACACAAAGAAAGACAGACTTATAAGTGGACATTAGAGGTGGCAAGGAAACTTGATTTCACATTTCTATTCATACCTCTATCACACTACAGAAATATTCTGAATGATAAAAAATAGATTAAAATTAACTTGAATCTATCACAATGGGAAACTCTAGCAGAGAAGGCTTTTGGGGACTGGTGTGTCGATGCTGGCCATTAAACATAACCCTTGACCTGGGCTGGTCCACCCGCTCGACGTGGGCTGCTCTCGCCACTGCTAAATGTAGGAGAAGAGGGAATCCCAGGGGGATTGGACCCTGCGTAGAGGAGCGATCCACCGATCAAAAGCAGAGCCGAACCCCCCCAGCCCAGGTAGAGTGCGGGGCCAAGCTCACGCTTGTGAGGGGCCGCCACATAGGGGTCATAGAAATCCCTGATGATAGAATGGGCCGTCCAGCAGACAGGTACAAGGATGAGGAACCCCGCGATGACAAAGAGCACACCGGACACACGGGCCAAGCGCGCCTTGAGGCTTGGGAGGCCCACGCACTCGGTACACTTAACACCCAGAACACCCAGCGTGAGCGCCAAGGTGCAGATGAGCAAAGCGAGAACCGTCAGACCCCGGGCGGCCTTCATGTCACTAGGAAGAGCCAGCAGGCTGTCATAGACCTTGCACTGAATCTCCCCTGTACTTTGCCAAATGCAATTCATCCACAGGCCCTCCCATGTGATCTGCGCCGTAACAATGTTGTTTCCGATGAAGGCGGTGACCCTCCACATGGGCAGGGTGCACACCAGGAACCCACCCACCCAGCCCATGATGGACAGGACCAGGCCAAACAGCTGCATGCCGGTAGTTGCCATGGGGAATCTTTTCCAAGAATGATCACTTGGAAGAGTCCAATGGATAGCACAGACAGAAGCCTTCGATAGACTTCAACGCCAGTGAGAATTGCGAAGACAAAGTCTTTCCAAAGTGAGTTCCAATAAATGAAGAGAGTAGACTGACAAGTGGACCTAAAGACTGGAACAAATGAATGCGTATAAGTTACAGAAAGTTATAGTATGTTGTTACAGTATACAAACTCCAAAAAACACACACTGACAGGACTTGAATTCTTGACTCTTCCAAATGTTTCTAAAATATGAATGGCCTTAAACCAGTCATGTAGAATCCTGCTCCTGGACGGCCACCATCCAGCAAAGTTGTAATTAAACACACCTGATCCAGCTAATCAAGGTCTTCAGGATCACTGTAAACTTCCAAGCAGGTGTGTTGGAGCTAAACTCAGGAACATGGCCCTCCAGGAGCACACCTGTCTTAAAGAGAAGTTCTGGGCTCAAGTTATGCCAGGTGTTACCAATCCTGCTCCTGGAGGGCCAATGTCCTGTAGAATTTAGTTACAACCTGCCAAAACACACCAGTGTTTGACTAGGGTTCGAAATAAGTTTTTTTTTGGAAGCTGGCCCTACAGGAGCACTCAGGACACCCATGGGTTAAGCTCTATCGACAGCATTTGTGGCATATGCTGCAAGAAAATGTGCAAAATTGCTTGTCATTGGGGTAGTACCCTCAAAGGGCCAACTTTATACCTTATCTACTTCTATAAGGTGCATTTAAGTACCTTAGAGTACCTATGAGGTACTACTATAACTGTTTAGGGATAAGGGCCTTTCGCACCGCTTTAGTTCCAGAACTAAATGTACAGTACTAAAGTACTGGAACGATTTTGCGCGAACTATTTCCCAGTACCATTTAAAGGGTTGCATTCGCACCGAGAGTGTGTACTAAGAAGTGACGTAAGCCGGTCGACAGCATCGTCATTTGTGCGCGGCATTCAACAACAGAAACAAAGAAGAACATCATTAACAACAGGAGGATGGAGGACGCTGTGATTGGAGCTGTGTTTTTGTTGTGTCTCGCGGGTTTCACAATAATGGACATGGAAAGTCGACGTATACGTAAAGCGATTGAAAGAACGGAAAGGAGGACTAAGAATCTCCAACGACAACTGGCAGTGCTACATTTGCTACAAGTGCCTGCACTTCAGCGTCCGTCCATCTATCGCTGTTCTCCATACTTGCGAAATAAGTTGACACAATGTTTACACGGCGTTTTAAATCAAGGCGGGTGAGGGCGTTTTCGTACGCGTTTGGCCAATCAATGTCTACTTACGTCACGATTAGTACCAGTTGTGCTGGTTAGACCCTGCTCCGGAGTAGGAGCTAATTTGGTTCTCGAAAAAGGCAGTCCGGTACTAAAATCGCACCCAGTTCCGGCGGTGCGAAAACGCCAAAAAGTGGGTAGTTCCACAATTAGTTCTGGTACTATGAAAAGGTTCCCGCGGTGCGAAAGACCCTATAGATAAGGCACAAAGATGTCCTTTTCAGGGGAATATCCCAGTGACAAGCTATTGTACCCCTAAAGGTACCTTTTTATTTTTTATTTTTTTTAGATAATTTCAATTGGTTTTAAAATAGGCAAAACCTGTGGTCACAACAACCAGTGTTAAAGAAGGTTTAAGTCAGAAAAGTAAAGCTCATGTTTTTGTTAATGTACATATGTGTTACTCAGTAAACATATGTGAGCTGTACAGTTGCCTAAATCGACCTTTTTAAGCGGACAAACTTCTGGTTATCCATTCCAGAGATCATCCTGTGAGTAGAATATCTTTTTGGTCCAGGTAAAAAGCCACTTTCTGGTATTAATGCGTGTGTTGTTTGTCAGGTTTAGTGGTATTACGTGGTTATGACATTAAAGATGAGAGATTAGATTACAGAAAGATTATAAGATAAGGTCAGTGATTCATCACACTAGTCACATGTTAACAAGTGTAATGTCTAATGCTGCCCATGCACTATACAACTTTCAAAGTCGTTGGATTGCTGTTGGTTTCACTCTACACAACTGTCTGTCATTGCTGAGGTCTTTTCCAGTCAAAACACATTTCACTTGGCAGGATTTGGAGTCACAGACAAGTCTAGATATTAAAGCTGCTAAATATCTCTTGGGCATCTGCAATGTAAATTTTTCAGATCGTCATGTGAACAAGCACCCATTTGCTTTCGACTTCAGGCTTTTGTCACTAATCCATTAACATGTGAAAATTAGCACTTAAATCTTGCAGTGTAAACCCACCGTACTTGGCAATATTACTGAAACTGTGTTTATTTTATTGTTTAATACCTGGTCCTATGTGCTTCTATTGTATCATACCATGCTGTTTTTAATACATTTCTGTGGTAATGCTGTTTATGCAGCTTAACTTGTAACCCAGAACATTCCTTTATTCAATATTCATGTGGTTTTATACATAAATATTTGGGCACTGTTATGTACAGTGAGCATTACTGGATTCACTATACATCCGAGAGAATGGGTTCTTTTCACACTGCGGTGGGTGTAGAGCTACGCCTGGTGGGGTGAGTGGATTATCTCAGAAAAACATGAGGAGCCTCTGGACACAAGAAGCTTTCTTTGAAACATTCAGAGTGGGCCACGTAGACCTGAGTCTGTTTATGTCAATTCTGAATGCTGCTGTAACAGTGCTGCACAAGCATTTAGTCTCAATCGTGAACCTTACGTTTAAAAACAGCCTAGACAAAATTGTTAGTTCTTTTAGTAACATATCAAGTTATTTGCTGAACCATACTTCTGATTTCCATAATAAATTACTGAAATTGTTGTTACCTGATGGACGACAACAAAGTCTCTGAAGTTTAACTCCTTCCACAGTCACTCATCTGCTAATCCTCCAACTTCTTGCTTTGGCTACCTTCGATCTGGATACAGAGCTTGACCCGAAATGCCATAAACCTGTGATGGAGGTGAAACCTACAGATTCAGACCTCTGAAGAGGCTCAGCTAGAGTGAATGTCACTTGGGTTGTAAGATTCAGAGGCAAGGACAGGAGTGAAGTGCTGCCCTCTGGGATACCAGCTCGGGTCTGTGTAGCGGTGGGCAGAAGCATGCGCTTATGTGCGCGTTTGTGTCAGTGTGTGAATGCGTTAATGTGTCTTGAGTGTGTCTCCCAGTGCCTGGTGTACCAGCACAATGACTCGCTGTTCTCTCGCCCTCGCTCTCCTCCATCCCCAACCCATCCATCTAGTCCTCTTTTTCATCCATTGCCTTCTTGTTCCTTGAAGTGAACTCCGTCGTTTCTTACTACCTTTCATTCATTTCACTTTCATAAAAGTTCACAGAGTGAGTACAATATGTTAAAGTCTTACATTCATGTCTCATGACAATGGCATATGTGTAAAGTTACAAATAACATTTAAGGAATAAATAAATAAATACATACATAAAAGTACAATTGTGGAATTTTGGATTAGAATCTTCTACATTTTCAAAAGATTGGATTTTGTTAATTTAAATAAAAAATGAATCATCATAATTTGATTATCATAACCTATATAAATTGTAATGATAACTACATTTCACCGCCATGATGCTGCTGCGATGTTGTGTGTTGCTAAAGTGATCTGAGTGTTTCTTAGCATGTTGCTATGTGGTCCCCTATGAAAAGGAAGTACACTTTAGAATAAATTTAAAATGGTACTTATTATGGAAATAATATACCTTAAAAGAATATACTTAATTGCAAATCAAATTAAATTACTTTTAACTTTTAAATTATTGTTACTTACAATTAAATTATCATTTATTATAGTTTAAATGTATATTAAATGCATTTAGCTTACCCACTTATGTAGGACTTAAGCGTAGCTTTATACTGTATGTAATTTCATAATTATTGTATTTGAAATATGGTTAAAGTGTACTGCCAAACGTGACCATCAATAATGGTGAACTATGTGATTTCTATTGAAAGTCATGGTATTTAAATTAATTTATAATTACACATTCATAATGACAAAGGCAACGCTGCAATTTAAATTATATTAACTTTAAGTGTAATATCAAAAAACACAGATAAGTTAAAATTATAATCAAGTACTTTACATGTGCTTTAGTATGTTAGTCACATCAAAAAATAAGGTTTTAGCAAGCACCAGTAATAAATAAAAAGTAATTTTTGTAATGATAATAATAATACAATTAATTGCATCCTATAATGGCAATGGTAAAGAAAGTGAAAGAACTGTAAGAGCTAGCATATTGTTTCAGATGCTGCAGCAGCTACTGCTGATGATAAGGGGAGCAGTGTTCTTTTCCCCATGGGGTCGTCCCGGGCTGAAGATGGGGTGGAGCTTATCTGTGAAAGCATCTTTGAAAGTGTAGATATGAGTCCCGGTATCCAAACAATAGAAAGACACACGTCCCTCCTCATAGTCCAGGTAAATAGACACTCTTTTAGGTTTGTGACTGAGGCTGAAGAAAGTTGGAGGGAATGTGTTGGCAGTGAACTGGGTGCCATTCTTTAAGCTAAGCACCCAGAAGCCGTTGGCTGGACATATTGTGAATTTTCCCTTTCTGTTGACAGATTGTTTGGCTACTCCCAGATCCCAGTCAGTCTTGTCTCCAACCTCCACTTCCCAAAGGTGTCTTCCATAGCTAAAGGCTTCCTTGGACATTACGTTTGCCACACGGTCAAACCTTTTGGGGTTTTCTGGGACTTCTTGACGTTTATTCGCATGTCTAACCTCCTTCCTGTCCTCAGAGATGTAGAGGTAAGTGTGAGCTGTCCGAGGATTCAGATTTACATCAACTGAAAAGGAAGATGGATGATTAGCTTTGCAAAACAATGAAACAATGACAGAAAACAAATTCTATATATATAAAAAAACATCTATAAATGTACAATGAAGACACACCTGAGTACTTCTGCAGTCTCTTCAGTTCTGAAAAATAGCAAATTGCATTTGAAACATCAATGGCATACAAAATGATGCTGTGTTATTTAAGTTGCTCTCAAAGATCATGGTTTAGCGAGTTAGCTTAATCAGTTAGCTTCTGCTAACTACACCACATTTTTCTCCAATGGCAGAAAAATGTATATGTACCGTACAATATATACTTTTTGATTGACTTTTTGATTACTTTTAGATCTATTGACCTAACTTGTTTATCACATGGAGTGATTATTGTGATTATTTGATTACTGTGTACAAAACTAATAATTAATGAAATCATAAAACATTAATAAACATGATTACATGGCCAACGTCTTCCAGGCTTGAAATATTTTTGTCCAGGCTTCCAATATTAATAATTAGTGAAGATCACTGTATATGATGAAGACATATCCTATTTCACAGCTATGCATCAGCAGTGTTTAGTAACTTCAAGTAGTCTCATGAATAAGTGGTATGTTCATTTAGAAGGGAAAATTTAAAAGAAAAAATGAACTGGGGTGAATTATAAAATGTGTGTGTGAATAAAATGTAATCATGTAATCAACAAAAAAGTAACTGTAATCTCATTATAAGCATTTTAAAATGTAATATAATCTGATTACAAGTACTTAATTTTTGCAGTCTGATTACATAATCTAGATACATGTACGCAGTTAATACCCAGCACTGTATATAGTAAATTTGTTTATTTTTGAAACATGAACAAATCTGTTATTTCACTGCCAAATACCACAATGGTCTTGGACTTTATTCTGCCACCTACTGGTGTGGATGTATCATCACCATTTATGTTATCTGAAGAAAAATGTGGTCATACATTAAAATTGTACAGCTTTTGACCCCAGAACATGGCATTAATGTTTTAAATGCTAAAGAAAGCATACATATGATGATAAAATATGTAGCCTACTAAAAGCAGAAGGACAAACTGAGGACAGTATGAAATACTGAAGCATATACTGTAGTGTTATTTTAATCATGCAGTCATACCAGCTTTAGAAAGTCTTTTAGCTTCCATCGTGACTGTATCCATGAAGTCCACATTACATGGCCAACGTCTTCCAGGCTTGAAATATTTTTGTCCAGGCTTCCAATATTAATAATTAGTGAAGATCACTGTATATGATGAAGACATATCCTATTTCACAGCTATGCATCAGCAGTGTTTAGTAACTTCAAGTAGTCTCATGAATAAGTGGTATGTTCATTTAGAAGGGAAAATTTAAAAGAAAAAATGAACTGGGGTGAATTATAAAATGTGTGTGTGAATAAAATGTAATCATGTAATCAACAAAAAAGTAACTGTAATCTCATTATAAGCATTTTAAAATGTAATATAATCTGATTACAAGTACTTAATTTTTGCAGTCTGATTACATAATCTAGATTACATGTACGCAGTTAATACCCAGCACTGTATATAGTAAATTTGTTTACTTTTGAAACATGAACAAATCTGTTATTTCACTGCCAAATACCACAACGGTCTTGGACTTTATTCTGCCACCTACTGGTGTGGATGTATCATCACCATTTATGTTATCTGAAGAAAAATGTGGTCATACATTAAAATTGTACAGCTTTTGACCCCAGAACATGGCATTAATGTTTTAAATGCTAAAGAAAGCATACATATGATGATAAAATATGTAGCCTACTAAAAGCAGAAGGACAAACTGAGGACAGTATGAAATACTGAAGCATATACTGTAGTGTTATTTTAATCATGCAGTCATACCAGCTTTAGAAAGTCTTTTAGCTTCCATCGTGACTGTATCCATGAAGTCCACCACAGCCTGCTCGGTGAAGCCAACACAAGGATCAGTCTCCAGTGTGAATTTAGACCAGTCTCTCATTGCTCGCGGTATATCACTGAAGCTCTGTAGATGAAAATATGTCATTTATTCTATACTATGCAATACTTGCTAAAAGGAAAACTTCACCCAAAATAAAAATGATGTCATTATTTGCTTGCCCTTATGTTGTTCCAAATCTGTATGCTGTTATTTTTTCAGTCTGATATTTAATACATCCTACAGGCATTGTGTTGACTTCAAAACCAAATGTGATGTGCCAAGTTACAGGATGGAGAATCAGTCATTAGAATACGGCAAAAGGGAAGATTTTCAAATAAGAACAACATAAATTTGAATCTGTTCTTTACTTATAGCTATTGCATGACTTCGGAAGACTTTGAATATAACGCACAAGTCATATTGACTACTTTTATTGTGCTCATTGGCTCTTTCTGAGCCTTTTCGGAACAGACTTCACTAGTTGTGTGGAAGGAGCTGTGTAAAGATTCTTAAAAAAATACTTCATGTAGCACTGAAAAAAAAAATAGAACATACAAATTTTGAACAACATGAAGGTGATTAAATAATTACTGAATTTTCACTTTGGGGAGATCAATACTTTACAATACGTAACATAATATTTAGGACAGATCAATTTGAGAACTTCTAACATTAAGTATGAAACATTGGTATAGTACAGATAAGTTTTTGTACTAATTTTGCATGTTTTTTAAAGATATTTTGCTTTTGCAAAGATGGGAACATTCAAGAAGTTTCTGGAATATTCTGCTGCTTTCTGGAACATTACAGAACATTGTGGGCCTAGTCAAAAAAGACAAAAATCATCCAACGTACCCTTCTGAAGTTTTGGACGACTCACTTTTGGTAACTGTTTATGCTAAACTGTTGTTGTTAGCTAAGTATGTATCATAATTTGTATGCATAAGTAATAGCAGATTAGCTTGTATGAGTTATCAACATTTTTTTTGTTTGTTTGTTTGTTTTTATGCACTGTCAATGATACACAAAAAGTAATGTGATTTTCATATTCAGCATGTCAATCTTCATAAAGAAACATCAATAATAAAAGCGAAACAAAACTTTTATAAAATGTTGATTCACTGTGTTATCAAAAGAGAAATTAGATGTGGTTACCTTTTTAAGACGCTCCTTGTCATCCAAGTGCTCAGGGTTGGTGTGTCCATTTTCCAGTTCAAGGATTTCTTTATCCAGGTCTTTTACAAGCCTTTCAACTCTTTTCTCCGCCTCTTTTTGTTTCTGCTCAACTGCTGCCACTACCAGTTTATGGCTCTTTTCTAAGGTGCTCAACAGAGAAGAAAACACCCTTTGACTTTCCTGAACCTCTCGGAGACATGTGCTCTGTTTGGAGGAAGAACAGGTTTTCTTTCAGAAATAGCCTATTGTAATTGTAAGTAAGTAAGTAAGTAAGTAAGTTTTATTTATAGAGCACATTTAAAATTCAAGATAAACTGGCCAACATACACTGAAAATGACCTGGATTTCAGATACGACTCAAACCAGTTAAGTGCTGTACCCTTTATGTCCACCCAATGTTCAAGGCGTGACAGAAGGATATTATGATCAACTGTATCAAAGGCAGCACTAAGATCCAATAAAACCAAAACTGCATTATCACCAGAATCAACCGACAGTAGCAAATCATTCATCACTTTTAACAAAGCTGTTTCAGTACTGTGGTGGGTAGTGAAACCTGATTGAAAAGGTTCAAGTATATGAGTTGATTTTAAAAAAGGAAGTAATTGTGACAGGACAACTCTTTCCAGAACTTTTGAAAGAAATGGGAGTTTTGAAATAGGACGATAGTTATTCAAGCAATTAATATCGGCATTGGGTTTTTTAAGCAATGGCTGGACAACTGCATGCTTCAAAAACGCAGGGACAGTGCCAGAAACTAAGCAAGAATTAATAAT